CGAACGGAAACTACTGTGGACCTCACGGATAAGACTCAAAAAATATATTGAACAATCAACGCCTTACTGACCATCATGACAAACAAGAACGTGAAACCCAAGACCAAACTTTAGATACACCAGACATTTCAAACCAACAGCTAAATAAGGCATTGAAACATGGTCCGAATGCCTTTTATTGATGGCATTTATTTCATTATTTATGATGTTTAGAGAATTTGTATTCATTTTATATTTTATTTATTGTTTCAAGATGTACACTTGATAAATTGTTTGTGCAAAGTCGGCCGACCTTGATGGAAGTCCCTTTCTGTCTCTCACGGTGAATGCATTTTTCCGCCCGCAGCAGACGACTGCGGTGATTAGTCGAGGAGCGCTGTTGGGTGATTCGAGCGTATGTGTGGAAGAATCTTTATTACAAAATAAAATAATTTTATTAGTGTACGTGTCGAAGCAACAGTGCTTGTTGTAATGAGCTGGAGGAATGTGTTGGTACTTAAGGGCCCATTGGAAATCAAAGCCAAAGCGCGAAAGATGTATTTACCTGACACGGATACTACACATAAAATTATGGAAATACTGTTTCAACACAGACTTTTATTTAACTTAGTTTTAATTAATTTACTTGAATTGCTTTCTTTTATTATATATTCGTATTTTGAACTTTGGAAATTATAATTCCGTAATTCGATGGAAGTGCAACCTCCAGCCTGTTGGGGCACCATCTTGCCAGTGTACTGAAATCATTGTCCAACACAAGGGGATCTGCTTGAGGTGATGCTGTTTGTTTCCTTATGAAGTTTTCATCGGAAATTTCTGAAGCGGGACTAAAGATTGAAAATGACAATTCAAAGTGAAGGTGAAGTGATTTAGTGTCAAATGGAACATCTGGAGACTTCCTTCATGCAATGCGAGTGGGATTTTTACCCTATAGGTTCTATTCAACAAGCAAAACGCTGCAAAGCGTCGATATAAACGTCAAAGCTATTGATCTAGCTTGTAGGCCACCTGCGAAACGTATTTGAAGTAAGAAATCATTAGAATATCTATATGTTACTGGTCGGAAGCAAATAAAATGTCAATTCGATTAATGATGGGATGGTAAACTGGCCACAAAGTCAATACGTTTTAAGTTATTTATATATTATATATATATATATATATATATATATATAATATATATATAAATAATATATATATATATATATATATATATTAGTTCTGCGAGTTAACTGAAAGAAAACGTAGGTTACAAGATCGGTGGAAAGTTCTCCATAATTTTAGAACTTGGAAATTTGAATGCAAGTAAAAATACAGGAAAAATCATACTCGTTGCGAAACTTATGACACGGATTTAAAAGTCACATTGCGAAATGAAACTTTACACTTCCTAGCACACAGTACTGAGAAAAATGTCTCGGTTCCACCTAGACGTTTCTGAGCTAAAGTATCGCAAGAAATCGAGAAGGAAATATTTTTAGGTACCTACGTGTGTTCACTTTCAACACTTACTGTAAGTTGCATTTTTTCTGTATACATTTGGATCTGTTATCAGAGCGCGTCATTTTGCCACATAGATGCACATAATATATAATGGCATATGCATTTACAAAAACCGGCCATCACATGAAAACTGAGGCCGATACAGAAATTCGATCTCGATTAAGAGGCACATTATCTTCCAGAAACAGTGTGTTTTGTTCTTGTTACATAGAAAAGTTATTTTCTTTAGAGCAGTGTTGTCTATACACCGAAATATTCTAATTGCAGCGCTGAAATATCTTTCTCGTGTTTAAAACAAGTGAAAATTACCTTAGATCAATTAAATGCATCAATTTGTTGACAAACCCGAAATTTTATTATCAATAAACTGTGATGATCTCATCGACCGATTTGCTGTCTAATCAGCAAGACATAAGGTATTTTAGTTTATTTGGTGTATAATTATAAATTTTCATATAAAAAATTATTTATTGAATGAATGCTTTAGAAATTATTGAAACTTTGTCTCTATTGAAAATTAAAGAATAGAAAAAAAGACGGCACGGAGTGTAATGTTCGGGGGCGCCCCTTTCGTAAACCCGTCACCGCTCAGCTCAGAAATGAAACATTTCATTTCGGTTGCCATCCGCACTGGCTGAACCCCCCTCCCCCTGTCAGGCCAAGAGTTTTAGTTTTCCTTCCATTATTTGTATAGTATCTTATATACAGTAAATAAATATATATTAGCACTAGTTCTGATTCTGTGTTTGAAAGATCTGCTAACAATCATCTGAGTTTTGATTCGTGTACATTCTTCTTTTTTCAATGGAAATGTTTTTTCTGGACATATATATTATAATATTATATATATATATATATATATATATATATATATATATATATATATATATTATATATTATATATATATATATATAATATGTATAATTTTGTCCATCTCTAAATGTAAAAATGTAAAAAGAGAGACGTCCAAATGTTCACATCTTATCGTCACAACTCACAAACCGAATATTGTTATGGAACCCTTACTTCGTATAGCTTGACTATTAAAACAAAAAACAACATATATCATACTGGAAAAGCTATTAACAGGGCTCACATTCTTGTAATTTTATTAATGCCATTTTAGACTTTTTGGAAACAATGTTTTTGTTTTTCAATTTTAATCCACATTTTTTGAATCATATTAGAGTTGGATTGAAATATATTTCCAATAAATATGAAATATACCATACCATATTTTATTAAATGTTTTTACTTTTGAACTTAACAAACAAATTTTTTAAAAATTACAAAATAAATGAAGCTTGCAGCTTCATCTTAAATATTGCCTTGAAGACTAGCATACAAACCAAACATAACTTTTCATACACATTGTTGCAATGAAAAAGTCATGTACAATCCAAAAATATGAAATGTGAAGGGTTTTTTTTCTTCGTCAACACACACATGCAACAAGACGTTAATGACATAGATTTCATACATGCCAGTGCTCTCAGTCCTCAAGGTAACCTAGGAATACTGCACATACACCTTTCATCTTTGCAAATCCAGGATTGTGTCGATTTTGAATGCTTTGGCAAGAATGCACAGTCCCTGATACTACCTTTCTTGAAACATCTTCATGATGTTTCATTTAATAGAAGATACGCATCTTCTAACTTTTAATGGTATCACGAAAATCATCCAAGTTTAATGCTGCATCCAAGCCACTGAAAAATGCTATCGCCCAATTAAAGAAATAAATTTTCTTAGCTCAACTTCTTAAAAATTCACAATTTCACTCTCTAATTATCTTACCTCACTTGAATTATACATAAAAAACCTAAATATACTAAAATAATAAACAAAATTGGCTAAAACTTACGGATCCAGGTTCTATTATACTTATTTCGGACATTGAAGTTTGTTGTCAACAGTGATTAAGTTTACATATGTATGTATTTATAATATTTAAGTACATTTCAAATTTAAATTATGATTAATATATGTCACGTGTAGAAACACAAGGAGAGTAGTAAGATCAAGGCAGGAACTGAAGTCCATAGGCCTACCCTAGTACAATATTATACATCAGGAGCTATTCCCCCTGCAACAGAATGCCCAAAAAGGTGAGTGAGGAGAATAGCATGGTATGGTCAGGCAGCCTGGAGTCATTCTTCTCAGGAAACACTAAGGTGTGAGCTCAGAGAGTAACTAATGAGGTATGAGCAATGGCAGCCTTAATACTTCACAAAGGGAATACCATGCTCAGAAGAAAAATACCAGAACACACATAGAGAGAAATCACTCTTTCTGAGAAAAAAATTCTATTATGGAGACTTTGCCACAAAGGCATCAAGAGGAGTTAAGAGTGATCTTACTTAGAATCAACAATGTCACCATTACAATTGATAATCAAATTTTGTTAAATAAAATGTTACAGCTGCATGTACATGTAGGGAAAATTATCGTGATAAATGACAGAGAGAGCTTCTTATAATTCTAAATTTGACTATATAAAAATAAAATATAAAACACTACCAGTAAGATAAGTTCTACAATAATTCATAATTTATTTCACCTTACCCTACATTTATTAATGCAAAGAACTACATTTTTCTTATTTGTAGGCACAAACATGCTATCAAAACATTTGTTGTCAAGATTATAAACAAGTGGATCACCATTACACATGACATCCTCAGAGCAAACCCATAAAATATACTGAATCCACACATAAATAAATAAGCAAAACTCTGTAAATCTCTAAAAAAATTGCATTGCAACTAATTGGAAGTGACTAACAATGAATGCACTAAACGTTCTTTGTAGACATGTAATGGTGTGTGTTATGTTTTTTGGTTATGAGGTGATTATTACATTTTCAATGTTTCAACAAGCGAGGGTTTAAAGTTGTAAGATCATTTTCAAGTTGTTTTTGATAGTTTTTTTTTAATGTTATTTTTATTATTATTTTAATACCTTTAACCAGTGCAAAAATACAATAACTTTATTTACGGTGAATATTTTATCACAGGCTCAGTAGAATGGGAATAGAAAATTACTCTCTCGCACAAAAAATAGTTACATTACAATTGAAATACTCCTCACTTTATTTTAAAGTATTCAAACAATGTACGACCAAACATACCGATAACCTCAAGACGTCCATATCGAAAACATACGGGCTAAGCAATACACGCAAAATCAACAAATTACCTGAAGCTATTTGGCCAGAATCTCATGCACTTGCTAACCTCTTTGTGCATTTGACTACTTATCATTTACCTACTAGTTGCCAACGTTGCGTTCGTCGCGTAGAGGCAGTACTATAAATAAAATATAATAATAATAATTAGCTCTTTCAAGGATATAGCATTTTTCATTATTATATTCCCTTTTGCCGACACTCTGCACGCTGAATAAAATAATACATTCACAAACATTCAGGACGACTTTTATTATTCTATTGCACACATTGTCAGAGACGAGCTGGTCCCGGCTTGCTTGCAACCACAGAACACCCAAGGTGTTTGTGTGCCTATGTATTGCTTGCAACTGCTTGTGATGTTGTGATGGGATCAGCTGATTGAGATTTAATGGAAGCTGTTTTAAAGTGAAAAATAATACGTTATTTGCAGTTCCACTTAATTTATCTTATATCAGTGAGTTTATGAAAGATGCGGTAATGAATTTTCGATATTATAAAACCAATTCTCGATTGAATAGTAAGAATAAATTATCATCCTTGTATTAGCAAGAACGAAGTGCACAACTCAAGGATTCTTCTTACAAAAGATACAACAGTGAGTATGCAATCCAATGTGTTTTTTCTCAAGTCCAACTTATGTTATGAGACATTTTATGTACTTTATAACCGTTATCGTTTGAAATATTCGTTTTAATGATGGTCGTGAAAAAGTGAATGATATGGAATGGTTGGAAATGTACGGTTGAAAGCTTTTTAAATGTGACTCGAAGAGATTCACATGGTGATCACAATTCAGACCACATGGTTTCATTAATATTTTTATGTTTGTGTTACACATGACAAAGGAAACGTCACATTTCCCTTGATTTTCGTATTGAACCTATTAACCAATAAGATTTGAGACTTGACGTTACCGCAAAATTCAAATGATTTACCATATTTACAAACTACTTGAAAAAGTTTTTTACTACATCTTGTTAGTCTTAAAACATCTTACTACGTCGAAATAGTTTTAAAACTTATTATTGCAAGAATGAAGACTTAACAAACGAGGCCCTTTAACTGTGCACATGTTGCACTTCACCGTCCCGCTTATCTAGCCCGTATATCGCTTGATGCGTGAGGAGTGGTTTCATTTGGTTAATTCGATGACAATTAGTAGTTGTTTTTTTTAAACCGACGTTATAAACGACCTTTCCTGCTGCAAGATATCGTTCTTAATTTTACGTTCTTAGTTTCTCATTTTACGCCACGAATGATTACGTCATCACACATTCAGCCAATCGCAGCGAGAGAATCGTGGGGTGGTAGAGGTAAACTGAACAGTCGCATACTGTTTTCTCGCACAAGCCAAATACCCGAAACGTCACAAGAAAGTGGCTTCGCAAAATTGTTTGATTCTCTACAAATTTATAATGCTATTATACAACAAAAAATAGCGCAAGTAACTCGTTTATAATGTTGCATTATTGCATGAGTACTTGTTTTGAAAACGAGCGACGTTAGAAACGAGTTTTCAAATTTCTACGAATACTTCACATAATAAACTAATTGCATAAATTAGTATATCAAATCTGTAGCACGATTTTATTTGAAAAATAGTTTCTGTTATATGGAAGTGATCACTTTTGTAATTAGATTAGGCAGTAGCGGCCCGCCCGCAACACTTTTATCTGGGCCTTCTTTATTTATAACAGTGTATGTAGCAAACACAAGTTGTGTTGGTACCTAATATAATGAAATACCCTTTAACAAATTCATATGCAGAATAAATTAATGTTACTAACCGATTATTTTGATTTAAAAACAGGGTTACATATGTTACAGAAGCGGGAAAAAATTCTTCTGTAAAATGGTGGTTTTTATCTCTAATTGTATTAACGATCGCAAACTATCAGAGACAGTATTAAATAATTAATATTTCTTACAATCTCCTTCGGCCTAACAATAGACCTTTTTTACCTGGGCCTACCCGCATTACGGGCCGAAAGTTACGCCATTGAGATTAGGTCAACACGGTTCGTCACTAACATTTTTCTTAATTAAATTTATTAATTTAATTTAATTTCTTATTTAATGCATTACGACTTAATGGCTAATTAACGCCCCCTCCCCAGTGCTAGTAAAGGAGTGCTAGGTATACCGCGGTTCAAGAAAACGTTCCTGTACAATACGTTACTTAGTATTATTAACCATTTTGGCGTCAAATAAATAAATGGGTGTTAGATAACCGCTCTCGTGTATTGTAATAAGATGAAACAATATGAATAGAGTACAACGTTTTATCTACTTTCTAAAAAAACGAATGTGTAATTTTTGTTTAAATTTTACTATTTATTTTGACAAACACTGATTAATAGTAATTAACACGCCATTGATTATTTATTTCTAATGCGCGATATGATTGGATTCTACTTTAGAATTGAAGTTCTGATTCTTTAAGACTCTAAAAGTGTCATTTTATTTAATTCTTGGTTGCTTCCATGCCTGAAAGCAAGCCGGAAAGTCTACTTTACTATGCAGTGCACTGTAATGAAATGAAATCGCATACCACTTATGAACTTGGTTACAAACAAATCTGATTTGTTTTATAAGTACATGACATCTTCTACATGTCAATAATTGACATTGGATAGAATTCCTCTCGTCGACAATCACGAAGATTTCCAATAGTGGCAATGACCTTTGTCAAAAGATGCAAATCATCAGGTTCCTCCCTCATAAAACGATTAATTTCGTCTGTTGCAGAGGTGGATCTAGAGGGGCGGATAGGGGGCCTAGAGATATTGTATAGTATCATATATACACCACAAAAATAATATATAATGTAATGACAAATATGTTTATTATTTAACAAAAATCTATGATGCCCCCTTCCCAATGGGTGATCGGCTGGATCCGTCTCTGGCAGAGCCGGATTAAGTAAATATGGGGAAAGCCATTAACATTTTCGGGGCCCTATGTTTTTGAAATTTATTATTTCATAAAATAGTACAAACAAAACATTTCGTAGATAACTTATTCAGACTATAGTTTTTATTGAATCAATCTATCAGTTATTGAAATAATGCATAATTATTATTTCTTGAAAAAACAATATAAAATATTAACATTTCTATATTTTATTCTCTATAATAGTAGGTAAAAAATATAATAATAATTTTTAAAGTATTTTTTCTACGTTTGAGATCACTGAAATCTTCAATAATTTCGTTGAAATCAATTTTTAGAACATTATCTGATTCAATGCATATGTGAGAGTACATGTAACTGACCTTAACGCATAGTAGCCCTGTGCTCGACTTTCATTCGCTTTAATTTTCAAAACGACCGCTCGGCAGAACAATTTGTTATCATAAATGCTAAAAAAGGCGTAGAGTAATTTCCAAATTTGGAAACATGTTCGTCAGTTGATTTTGCACTATTACTTCATAATGTCCAGCATGTGTGAATTGAGTTTTTTTAAACTTTGAACGTTATTGGATCAGTAAGAAGAGGAAGGCAACAAGTCAAAAATGCAATTTTTAATTAATTTATTTATTGTTTGAAAGATGTTCTTTAAGGGAAATCAAGTTTTACTGTAAAGAAAGGAATTACGTCATAACAGTATTTAGGTTATCATAGCGAATACACACAGAAAAAATGGACAGAATAATATAAAGTGTGTGAGTATGTTTCCTTCCTCTCGAAATGTTGCAAAAAATGACTTTTTCTCTTTCTCCTCAGCCCGATACAATTATGAAATTGTTTTAATTTGGAATAAAAATACTGCAAATCTTCAGAATGAAAATTGACTAAATTTGATATATACTTTTTACTGTTTTTACTTTTTTTATTTTCTTTTTTCATTTGTTTCATACTTTTTTGCTTTTGCAAAAATTGTGTTCACACGCTCAATGCGATGGCGCGTTAAGTTCCTATTATATATTGCTTCTTCCGCCACTTTTTTGCTATGTTGTGTTTGCTTTTTATTTCTTCATACGCGGCTATCGTTGTTTCATCGCGACACGTCAGAAGGGGGGTACGCAACGAACGACGATAGTCAGCCAATAAGTTTGAAGGTGAGAAAATTGAAAAAATATTTTGAATTTTTTGCCAAGAACGCAATGTGGCAGAGCGCCGTTCTGGACTTGAGGCAAAATGACGTGAACCTTAATGAGTTAAACTCAATGCATTCAGGGGCGGATCCAGAGACGATTTTGGGGGGAGGGTAATTTGTTTGTCTTTATTTGTACATATATACAAATATAATATAAATTATATACAAGGTAATTTATTTATCAAAATGCTCCTAACAAAATTGAAATATTAAATTTTATATTTAATGAATATTTTATGGTTTAAAATGAATCTGATAGTATTACAAAAAGGCACAGACTTTCTCGTACTAGAAAGTTGCCTAATTTCTTTGCTCGGTGCTGGCTTTTGGATCGTGTCCCATCCTCTTTCCAGCTGCCATCTATCACAATTTTTTTTTATATTTGCTTTTTTTCCTAATGGCAGAAATGAAAAATTAATTACTTTAAAAATATTATAGAAGTTGTGATTGCAAAATTTGGAGCGAATTTCGAAAATGCCGTTTAAGTGTTACTGTAAATTTGAAGAACCTTTTCACAGAAATCTTTTGAGTTTTCAAAAAACTGTATATACAAATGCAATAGTATGTACAAATTGATGGAAATTCTTCTTCTTCTTCGTCTTCTTCTTCTTCTTCTTCTTCTTCTTCTTCTTCTTCTTCTTCTTCTTCTTCTTCTTCTTCTTCTTCTTCTGTTTTGGAGTCGACGACAGCTAAATTCTGTTTTGCAGGTAAGTAGAGACGAGAGAGCCACCAGGTAACCAAAGAGCCTTGGCTCTCTGGTTTGCTAGGGCCAAGTCATCTGTGGATACACCATTGGGGCAGTCCGGGCCGGAAAGTAGATGTTCCATCGTCTCTTCAGCACCCCAGGAGCACATCACTGAGCCATTCTGGAATTAGAATCCCCATTTTTGCAAGTTGTATTTACATCTACCAACACCCGTACGCAGTCTGTTTAGAGATCTCTATATGGTCCATATTAATGGCGTGAGAGATATTTCAAAACAATTACATTTATATAATTTTTGAATAAATAAAAGAAAACAGCAAAATTAATTTTATGTCATCTTAAACCTTGCAATTAGCACTATCCGTACGAAACGTTTGAAGGAAAAATTTGGTGTCGGTTTTGAGAAAATGGCACTTAAGCGTTTCTGAAAAAGCGGATTTTTGAGTTCATATTCACAGAAAACTTTTGGGTTTTCCAAAAACTTTATATGGCATCATTTAGAGCACATTTACTCGTAAAGCAATAATGTGAACAAATAGTAATAATGTGAACTAATGCAAATAGAATCGGCGTGAGAGACAAGTCAAAAAATTACATTTTTATAAAAACGAAAGAGAAGGGCAAAATAGCATTGATGTCATCTCATAGAGTGCATTTAGCACCCTCCCTACCAAAAGTTTGAAGAAAAAAATGGACCCATATTTGAGAAAATCTTGTTCATGTTATTCTTTAATATTGTGCGAAAACTATTTTTTTTAAAGGCACATGATCGTAATGAAAGAAGTAATTATGGACAACGGTTTTCATTAGAAGGAAAAATCTCTTCAATTTTGTTGTAGGAAGTCGCCGAAAAACTTCACTTTTGTAATTATCGAAAATTCAGAGTTAACAGTAAAAATCGGGCAGATGTCACTTTTATTAGTGTAATTTTCTATATTCTTACAAGAAATTTAAAGTCAAAAATTGTAGCCTTTTTTAGAAAATTTTGAAATTGTTCCTGGGGCTTTATGTAAAATATCCCCCCAAAAATTAATGAATGTCTTTCAAAATCGCAGCGCTTTGACTCAGACCAGATAGGCAGGGGTTTCTTCAATTTCGAGTCCTGGCGGTGGCAGGATTTTCGTCACTGGCTGCTTTCTCAGTCAGCTAGATTGATTCAGTTGCTGTCTGGAGGAGAATTCTAGCGACCGGCTGCTCTGATCGATAGTTTTCCTTGGTTTCTGCGATCAATACCAGGCGAATGCCGGAGCAGTACCCTAAGAAACAGGCCACGGACCGCGCGCGATCTTTCCTACCTCGTCCTTGTCCTATCCTCTCCTCTTGCACACACACACACAAACAAACACGCACTACAGAAGTACACATGCCGGGAGACCTGTCGGGAGCGTAGATTTTGTCCCGACTGGGACGATGTTCCGCTGGTGGGAGAAACCGTTAAACGACGTTAGGTCGGCGCCGGATGTCACCATTTTTCGAGGAAAAGATCCCCGCCACCTCCCGAGCAAAAACATGCAATTCACTTACGGGGCTAATTATCCTGGTAGTTGGCGTGCCCGGAATTACTAAACAATCAGTCAATCGAAATCGATTTTGCGCAGCATAACGTAACCTCTACTGTATTACTCCGTATATACACGTATGTAGTTTTTTAAGAATGTTAAACATTCGTTCTATTCGCTTAAATTTGTATCCCCTCCGTGACTTCATTTAAGTTCTAGTCCTTTATGTTAGTTCAAAAGTGTTACCGATTTTCAAGATGGATTCGACGCTATTAAAGTTATAATGATTGTGTTGCCAAAGACGACTATAATGCATAATTCATTTAGTAGAAATATATGTTTACTACTAAGTTCACACATGAAATGAATGACTGCTATAAGCCCATGGAACCATATATTAGCCTTTGTGTAAATATTCTAAAAATGTATAATTTAACATTTTTTTTTATTTTTATGTTATTGGCAGATGATTCCGGATGGTGAGACTCTTTGTGCAGAATTAACTGTTAATGACCATGCATACATAATATGTTTAGTTGCTGAAAACTCACCTGAACAATTATCAGTATATGTAACAGATTGTGAAGAATTTTTTAAAGGATGCATTACTTCAGAACAACTCACATTAATGGAGAAAGAGTTGAAAGTTTATTCACAAAAGTCAAAAAGTAATTTATTTAGGTATGTAATAGCCTACTTTCTGAAATATTTATTAATGAGTAAAATTCAATTTCATGCAGAGATTTGTTACAGAATTGCAATGAAGCAGAAAAAAATTTCATTCTCAAAAGTTTCTTTACAATTAAATTTTACCATTTCCTCAGAAACAATTAATGTAACTATGGAAGAAATAGAAGCAAATAATAGATCTGCATATATAAAAGCATTATTTTTCCGCATGGCTAAGGAAATGAGTGGCCCAGAGGTAAGTTTTACCATCATTTCTATTTACATCAACAGTTAAGTAGGTACTTACAGCACACACAAACACCCATTTCTTAGAAGTGAACATTGAAAGCAATTTCTATGCTTATTATAATTTGAGGAGTTTTTTGCTTAGAAATCAATATCACGTTATTTAATTATAGAAAATTGTTTGTTGATCCAATGAAAATAATAAAAAAAATTCTCAGTAAGAAAACAATATAATTAAACACTCATTTTCATGTGAGGAATAATAGTTTAAAATGAGATGGACATTATATATTTATATTTAATTGACACCGTTCTTTTTCTTATGGCTATGACAAATATAAAGGGTTGTTGGGAAAGGTTTGTTGTACTTCCATACTATATCCTTATGGGCATAGCCAACCATTATACGTTTTCAGTGAACAGGGTGGGAAGTATAGGAAACTGCAAGATCTCTCGTCTGTAAACAATGAACTATTTCCTCATAAAATCAGTCTCTGGAAATTCCGGGGTGGGGGTGTGGGGCATTGATCCCCCTCCCATCACTAACCGGATGCCAATGGTGGGCAATACACTAGGCCAAGAACCACTTCAAAGCATAGGTTATGTTGACAGTTCACTTGGTACAGGAACTGGATGTGAACCAGGAGACCTGAGTTCAATTCCCAGTCAGGGGGTTCAATACTGAGTTTTTTTTAACAATTTACTCATTATATTTATTTTGTATTTGCTGTAGTTAAATTATGGATTTATGATACTTAAAATACAGTGGTGTCCAAAAGATTTTTAGATCCAAGTTTTATTAATTTACTAATATTGATTTAAGTTTATCCACTAGAAGAGGAGAGTTGTTTTAGTAGTTGGAGGTCTTTGACAAATTTTATCTTCATATTATGCAGTGATTTGTATTTGTTTTGAACAATGAAATAAATGCACTCTTAATATAATTAACATTGAGACATTTTTTCTACTATAATATTTTTTAATTAAAATAAAATACATATTACATAAGTTGATGTTAAAATTTTGAGTGGCTGATAAATATTATGTTACATTATTCATAGTTTACGTCATTTTTTTGATTTTAGGAGAAAATGTCACCAGCAAAGCCTTCCATGTCTACAACAATACGAATTAACTCACAAGCCAGATCTGTGAAACAAAAATTACCTGGCACTAGTATTGTGAATCCTGGTGTGAAACGCATACGCACAGGGACCGGTGTACAGTTTGAGGAAGACTGATGGAAATTGCTCACTCAATTTCCAACAGAGCTGAAAATTAAATATTTTAAAATTTTTGATTTCATATGTATATGTTTTTGTTACTGACATGAAATGTTTATCATTTACTATTTTTGATATTGTTAGTGTTGTTAACAGTTTGTGTTTTATTAAATTAATCACACATTTTATTTGTGTATACAAATTATATATAATTTATCATTTTACTTCATGAAAAAGATTGCATTTTTGTCTCGTGTACAACTGTTAATAAAGAGATTTATATACAGGTACTCAAAGATTTGCTCAACAAAGCAAACATTTGACACGTCCATCTTAAATTGACAGTAATAGGTCACGGTTGGATGACACTGAATCTAAATAAAACTTGATCCATTTGAAAGACTTCAACAAAAACAATAAAAGACATAAAGAATTGTAAAGCGTGAGGCGTCGTTTCGCCCTGAGGAAAGTCGGAGAATGGCGGTCGAAACGTTGGCACCTGTCTCTAGGACGCGGCGTCTTTCAGACTGCCAAGCAGCTACAGATTCCTGCCGCGGAAACCTACAATCTCATGATTGCCAAACTATATTGCATTTATCCTTTTAATTGTGGGGTGATCACATGGGTTGCTGAGTTCACAAAGGTAGTGGCAGCCAGCAACTGAAGACACTGGTGGCGAACTGCTGAAATGAAGGCAACTTGTGGGACAATTTTGAGACCGAGAACGAAAGGGCGGCAGACGGGAAGAGGTCGTATGCGAAGTGAGCACTTGGGAGAAAATGATCTGGAGACTCGGCTCACAAATGGAGAAGGGCGTGAGCGCAGTCTCGGTGGCAAGCCCGCGCAGGCCTCTGAGATTGCAGCTGCCACAAGTGGACGTAATCATGCCTTCCCTCGAGACTCAGCCTCCAGTCTTCTGTCATTGATGGAAGATTTCTCTCAGCTCTCGGCGACTTGATTTCATTCTTGTGTGTATTTTTCATTTTTTATTTCGGAATTCTGTGTCTCTCTTTGATTATATTTAGGTTAATTCTTTTTTTACTAATAAGCTATAAGAAGATGCCCTGCAAAAGAGAGTAGAGTGACGAAGTAAATGGAGTTAATCGATCTCTATGAGGAACACGAGTTTTGGTGGAATGTAAAACAAATTGTATAGGAATCGCTATAAAAATGAGAATGTTTGACGAATTTGCAACAAATGTTTGTTTTTTTTAAAAAAACTAATGGAAATTGCACTGCAGACATCTGAATAAATGTTTTAGAACTGTTGTGCATGTTCCAACTTATTTACGAGTGTTGAACAAGCTCTGAATTCATTTCGTCGATCCACCGATTTCCTAATCTACAAGAAAAAAAATGTGGCGTATCTGAAAAAAGAAATTGTTGGAAATTTAAAAATTGCTATTTGACGGAACAAAACTCCAGTTTTCGAAATATTGAACTGAAACTTATTTGAAGAGACTGGTTTCTGAAATGAACAATGCGTTAAACTATAATATTATGTATAATTCTAGTTGCAGAAAGACACCGAAAAAACCTAACTTGCAATGCGGAATCTGCGGTTCAATCCCAATAGCACCTGCCATTTCTTACGGCATTGGCACTATTCAGTCCCAAAATAAGAAAAAACTCCTTTTTTTAAATGTCCAGGGCTTCATGTAAAGAGCCCCTGAAAATTAAAATACCGTTTCTAACTCAAGAAGCATGGCATCAATCAGAGCGATGTGCGGAATGTCATTTTGGTGCAAAATTCTACTTATGGTTTTCTAGGTGACATTAATGGATGGTGTAACTTGTCTTCTCATTCCGAATTTTGTACATTAAACCAGTGCTTTGATTTATAAAATGGGAAAGTGCCGCCAAATTAATTATTATTTAATAGAAGTAGCTATATATTATAATTATAATTTACAATTAGTCCCAGTATTTCATGTCTCGCTTGATGGGCCTCGGTCCAAAGGCTCTGAATCCAAAGCCAATGCAGCCCAGAGCCAAATTGGACCACGGCACAGGCCGGAAAGACATGAAGGAAATATGACTCCCCGGCCGTGAAATCTACAATGTTCTGTAAAATTTCCCCAGGTACCATGTGACGCCGTTCCATCGGTTTCGCAGACTATCAAAGCTAGGCATAAACCATCTTACAAACATCAATATGACATAGATTGAGTATACAGATCAATCCTGATCATACTTCTACTTCAAAATAGAAAGACATTTAAAAAGGTGGCCAAATTTTTTACCGGTTTGCAGATATAATATTAAGATAAGAAAACTGCTTAACAGTTCTCTCATGAAAAACGAACAAACTGAATAGTATTATGAGATACCTTTCGTTGTGTGGAGCGATGGTGAGCAGTTATCCGATTTTCTGAAGCATTAATAACATCCACATAAGAATTCATTAACTATGTGGTGAATTGACAACAACTACTTTCTTTAAATCTTTTGGTCAACAGATCCAGATGCTCCCTTGAATAAAATACCGGAACCTACGTACACGGATCTCTTTTTCACAAAACGCATCAAAACATCGCAATCCAAAACGCGCTAGGATTTAACACCCTTAGATCCGTTCTAACCATCGAACCCGACACCTAAGAAGAATTACAACCATCCAAAAGCGGTACTGGCAAATAGAGGGATATACGCCAGCAGAAGTAAGAAAGCTTCACCCAAGAGGAAGCCGATGAACATAATTGAACTGATGTAAACACGCACCATTTCCTACCCCACGTGAAAGAAAGTGCACGCATAAGAATCTAAACAGATACATCAGGTAGAACAATCTTGAACCCACCCAACATTTGCGCAACATATTTCGCTCAGCCAGAAAGACCGTCAGTAGTAACGTCACATAGGACGTCAAGAATCCGGATCGTGAATGAAAATTCTCATTGTATAGTTCCAGAGACAGATTGCATAAATCGCAGTTGTAGTGGTGGCATATGATCAAAAAAGCTGATTTGTCGGTAAAAACAGATTTTTATTAGAATAGCAAGCATACAGGGAAAGCCGTTAACATGTGTAGCCACAAAATAACCAAGTTGATTACCCGGATTCCAAATTACCAAAAACCGAAAAAAAAATGTCCAAAACAACATGCCGAAGCACAATCCAAAGACCCAAACAGAAGTTCAGTAATACTATAGCCCGGCAGCGTAGTCACTCATACTTGCACTCCTCGTGGCTCGTAACATGACGGAACGTTAAAACTGACTTCACGTGCATGCGGCGCCGTTTGGTGGAGAACTAAGCTTTAATTGAACCGTCTATACGTGTATGCTTTTCGAAAGCATGTGAATGAATCCGGGCCTTAGGACGTATCTAATTTCATTTAACGCCTAGCATATGTTTATTTGGTCATTTGAATGGACTTTATTTAGAATACCTTGTAGTATTATATCGACACGTTTCTTGTGCTCTCGTTTTGCTAGATACGGAAAGAGTTAGAGTTTGGTTATTTCGAAGACTGCTCTATTATTATCAAACCCCTAGCTCGTTGCTTTTAATTGCAAACTAGTTTCTAAAGGGGATCGGAAAGTTTTTGTTATCAGATTTGTTGACAACGCCCGACGGTATCTTTTATTCGAATTCAACATTTAGTAAGGATGTGGCAGCTATTCGGGCTCAGAAAACGTGAAATATAATATAAGTTTTTAGTAATAGTAAGCCAATACTGGTTTTATTTGGTAAGTGATGCTCTGTCTCCACGATGGAAATATTCTCAAGACATTTCGCGCTTTCTCGGTAGTATAGCTGCTAGATCGCATAATGCGACAGCCAGTTCAGCTGTCGGGCAGTGCAAACTGGGCGCGATCAAACCAAATCGTAATCATGCGGCCGTCAGAAAAGCGAAAGCCGAAGCATTCCTCTAAGGCAGGCCACTCGACAAGAAATAAAAAACTCATGTGTAATGTAAACGTTTGTTCATTCTGTCTGTAAATTTTGGAGGTCGCTATTACGAAATTAATGAAGTCCGAATCTAAAAAATGAAGATTAAATTTTGCTGCAAAAAACAAATGTTATTTTCAAATCTGTAATTTGGAACTTTTTGACAATAAGTTTTGAAATGAAAGAACATGTAGGAAAGTAAATTGTTTTATGATTAATTTTAGCAATTAACGTTGCCAATCTCAAAGCAAATTACAATTTAAACGACTTAAAAAAAATCCATTATTTAAACACGCCAACAACAGCAGTTAAACGATAGAGACCAAAACTCCTTCTTTATTCTGTTCGCCAAAGGGCTTATCAAGAGCGGAACAATTTAATAAAACACAATAGGTTGCATCATCGCTAATAGGTAATTCATCTAACACATCACTAATATTGGTAATAAGGATGTGTTTCAATTTTAAAGAATGTTATTTAATTAAATTATTTCACTGCGGTTAATAATAATAATAAAATAATAATAATAATAAAAAATAAGATAATAAATAATAAATGTGAGCAAATTTATCTTTGGAAATTTGGATTCATTCTGCTTAGGGATCACAAATTATGGACTAAATTAAATTTCGAGTTTAGAGGGAAAATTAAGTGAGAGAAAAAAAAATCTGTATTTCAATATATGATTTTTTAAGAAAATCTGCAGTATTCTCTATAATTATTGGCTACAAACCAGGGGCTTTGGAAGAATCCGGATTTATTTGCACACTTGTAATTTCGTATATAGCTGCATATTGATCTAATTTGGGAATGCTAATTAAAGAGGATAAAATTATAAGATCTTGAATAATAAACATCTGAAATTCATTTTTAGATTAAGAATATTCATGAAGAAGCCAAAAATCATTTTGGTGATAAAAGGAACTCCAATATCTTAGTTTACATAGACTACATCTAATCTGTCACGTCGGCAATATATCTGAAAAAAAACGATTGCACTGATTCTTTGATTAAACGATCAACAAATTTTCATTAATCTACTATTATAGTACATGATGGTTTCAATCTATCTGTAAATTGCATTAAAAATGCTTCATTTATACCAAAGCCTCGGCTTCCTTGGGGTTTAAAACTATTGATAATTTATAACTTCTGAGTAGAAATAAATTAATATACTTGACGAAGCATACTTCTGTGACTTCATAAATCTTCAATCATTAATAATGATTATTCAGTTGCATAGGATAGGTTTTTTTTAAATAATTCCATCACAATTTGGCTAAATTCCGATTTTCCCTAAATCTTCAAGCTTTTCTTTATTATTTTTTAAAGGAGGTCTCCTCATTTTTGTCTCGATTGATTTCGTTAACCGTAATCCACAAATGCTTGTGTTTATATTAATTGCTATAAGGAATTTTCAAAACAAGAAAACAAATGTTCAATTAAATTTAAACTATCAGATAATTATTTTAATCCTTTGATATCTGCCGGCTGTTTTCTGCCAAACTCTTTCAAATATCGTTTCAAGTCCAGTAGTAAATCGGGAATTGGGAATTATTCTCTCATCTATGAGCATTATTATCACTGTAGCTTGTTAAAATAGTGAAATAAATTTATTCATAATCACATCTTGAAAATTAATTTTGAGAAGTATAAGTAATGTTTGCATTTGAACGGTGAACTCGAATATTACATACGGATCCTAAAAGTAAAGCCCATTACAAAAACACCTGTATGATATAATTGACGGAGTTTCAGCTCCTGTGAACTTTCTTTCTCGAAAGATTTGATTGTTGATCATAGTACTCGATTTAAAGTGAATATGTTCACTCGAACAACAATAGGCAAGCTGTGATCTTCGCATGCTGCCAAAACGTGTTCGAATAGTGTTTTGTCGGAAATGCTAACTGATCCCAGCGGCGAAGAAGTTGAGGTTAACACCCTCACAGCCGCTTTGTTGGTTAGTTTTTTCTCAGTGATGCTGAGCGTCCTTTGCAACAGAAATATAGTTAGGGGATAAATGGAAATGATGCCTTTGTACACGCGGTATCTCATATGACATAGTTATCTCGATGGATTTATTGTAATTTAGTAAAAAAAGAAGTAAAAAATGTTAGTACGTACGGGAATCATCTGTACGTTTTCTGAGTTCAGAATCCTTCCATCAATTTAACTATAAATAGATTAAGATGCAATATTTAAAATAAATAAAAATAAATTTAATAAAAGTACAAGTTAACAATTTTAAAAAAGAGAAATTGTTCTTTAACATTCTTAGTGAGTACGATAACATGAAAGACATATAAAACAATCCTTAAAATATATTATCCAAAAATATTAATGACGTTGTTATATTAAGTAAACATTTTTGTACATTAATATTTTAAAAAAATTTAATGAGCTCTAGAAGAATTAGTTACCCAAGAGATGCAACATTTTTCCTTCGCTGG